TGAGGTATAATGCACCAGCAGCCTTTTCAGCTCTCAACTCCCATTTCTCTATTGCTTCAGCGTCAGTCCCAGGACACTTTTCAGCACCAGAGACAAGCCTCCACAGTCCCTTGGTCATCAACCAAGCTTGCATTTCACCACTCCACTGGGGGTAGTTAGTGCCAGACAAGGGATGGAACTTGGGATCAGAGTCAGACATGATGGGTGTTGTATAAGACGATAGAGCAAAGATAAATGATGTAGGAGACGGCTATAGGCGATGAAACAGTGGCAAAGACAATGGGTAACAGTAGGAGGTGAGCAGATAAGATGGTGAGGCGGTAGAGAGAGGATATGGAGAGGGTCAGAAAGCGCAAGGATAGGTCCAAATAGGGTCCAAAAAGCGTCCAAAAGCGATCCAGGAGGGTGCTAAGGCTTCCTAGTGCTGCTACAGGGTTACGCCTGTGTTCCCCTTTCAATACCACACTGATATTAACAGAGAAATCGCCTCGAGACAGTGTTGGTTAATAGGGCTTGTATATGAGTCAACAAAGTGACTTAAGCTCCCCAAACACCGCAGACTGAGAGAGGCTCTAGGCAACAGCAAACTGAGGCAATGCAGGCGAGCTTCACAGTCTATAGGCTTGTTCTATCTGATAATGGACAGAGCAGAGAAGATTGGAGCTTTATGCACACACCAGATATGCCAAAAAGCGAAAAATAGGGCAAAAAGTCGAAAATGATGCAGAGACAGATAGGATGGATGGATTGCCCCCTAATCAGAGGTATATGGAACGTTTATATAGAGCAATAGATGGCCCAAATATCACAACAAGTGAAGCACAGGATGTGGAGATATGCAATAGGGGTGCAATAGGGGTGAAAGTGCCAAAAATGCGAACTTCACAGAGGGTGATGGAGTGGATGGATTGCCCCCAAATTGAGGGTGTAGAGTGCGATAGTATAGGGTACTAGATGGCTCAAATAGGGCCAAGATCCGAGCACAGGATGTGGAGATATGGAGTAGGGGGCCAAAAGGTGATCAAATGATGATGAAGGCTCACAGAAAGATCCAGCTCAAATCCAACCGCTCTGACAGGTCTCCTAGGGTTATTTAGGCCGTAGAAGACGATGGTAGAAGTTTGGGGACGATCAGATAAGGATTGGGTGAGATATGATACAGATAAGACCAAAAAAGCGTCCAAAATGGGGGTAACTTGCAACAAGGAGTTGTTGTTGGAGATCAGGATGAGATCAGAGTAATCTGAGGTGATGGATGGGATAATAGGAGTCCCAGAAGACGATGGTTACGATGGATAAGCAGTAGGACGCTTGGATGGTGAGATATGAGGTCAGGAAGATGGCTAGAGCACAGGGCTCATAACCTATTAAGAACAAAGCTTGAAGGAAGTGTCTAGCCACTTGCTGAGAGCAATCAGGGACTGGAACTAGAGTCCAATGTGAGTAACTATATTATTAGAGAGTATGACAGGTATACAGTACCTAGAGTCCAATGTGAGTAACTAGAGAATAGGAAGCATTGGACTCTGCAGTACTGTCCGATGTTTTGTAAACAAAGGTAAACAAAGGAGCCACAAAGGCGAAATAATAGAGAACACAATCAACACTGAATGGTAGAGGGATAGATAGAGAAAGGAATGAAAATATAGAGGTAGCACAAAGGTGCAGAATCACCAAAACTAACACAAGCTTCAGTTGTGGTGGGAGGACAAGGTGCGGATGTACATGGAGATGCAAGGCAGGCGAGGGATGAGATTCAGGAATATATTGATGGTCACTATATTGGTCCTGTGGAAACATGCTGGCATCTCCTGGAGTTCCCTATGCATGAAGAAAAACCAACAGTATTGCGCCTGCCCGTTCACTTAGAGGATCAACAAACTGTATTCTTCAATGCCCATGATAATGCAGAGAATATAATCAATAACAACTGTACATCAAAGACTCAACTCACAGAATAGTTCACTGCCAATAAAGATCACCCTGAAGGCCGTCACATACCTTATCAGGATTATCCTCAATATTTTGTCTGGAACAAAGGTGAAAAAATGGACTCCAAGAAAACAACAATTTGCTATAGGGAGAATGATGTTTGTCCATCCAAGCCAAGGGGAGCACTTCTACCTCCATACACTGCTCACAGTGGTCCCTGGAGCAGAGAGTTGGGAAGATTTGTGCACATTTGATGGGGTTTTACATCCAACTTACAAAGCTGCATGTGCTGCACGTGGCCTGTTAGAAGACGATGGTGAATGGGATCAGTGTTTGGCAGAAGCAGGAGATATGCAGACAGGCCCTGAACTCTGTGCTCTCTTTGCAGTTATCTTACTGCAATGTCTCCCAAATGAGCCTGCAAACCTTCAGAATTGGCACAAACACAAGATTTGTGATGATTTACACCATCGCCTTCTACAAAGAGGGATTGCCCAACCTTCAGAAGACCAGATTTATGATTATAGACTATTCTTGCTGGATGAAGCACCAATGCAACACCGTCATGGGATTGAAGCATTAGATTGTATATTACAGGACATTTTGGATAATCAACTTCCATTTGGAGGCATTACAATGGTCTTTGGAGGGGACTTCCGCCAAACAACACCTGTTGTTCCAAGAAGGTCAAGGCAACGCATTATTTCTGCCTCTCTTAGAAGGTCACGACTGTGGACAAATATCCATGTCTGCTATCTCACACAGAACATATGCCTGCACCGTACTCCAGAAAGTGAAGCCTTTGCTAGCTGGATGTTGGTGGTGGTCTTGGAATTGCAGGAGATGGAACTATTGAGCTTCCCGCCAACATGCTTATGCTAGAAAACACCATAGACTCATTAGTCAACACTACCTATCCTGGAATTGCAAATGGAGACAAAGATGACCATTATTTCCTCCACCGCACCATCCTCTCCACAAAAAATGATGCCGTTAGCAACCTTAATTCAGCAATCCTCACAAAATTCCCTGGAGAAGAGTTAGCAGCTCTGTAAGTGGTTGGAGAGGGACATGAATATTATCCTGTGGAATTCTTGAACTCCTTGCAAGTATATGGCCTTCCACTTATGCTCCTCCATGATATTGATCCCCTAAATGGACTCTGTAATGGAACACACATGATTTTGAAAGAGATGAAGAGAAGAGTATGTTAGTTTTGGTGATTCTGCACCTTTGTGCTACCTCTATATTTTCATTCCTTTCTCTATCTATTCTTCTATCATTCAGTATTGATTGTGTTCTCTATTATTTCGCCTTTGTGGCTGCTTTGTTTACCTTTGTTTACAAAACATCGGACAGTACTGCAGAGTCCAATGCTTCCTATTCTCTAGTTACTCACATTGGACTCTAGGTACTGTATACCTGTCATACATACTCTCTAATAATATAGTTACTCACATTGGACTCTAGTTCCAGTCCCTGATTGCTCTCAGCAAGTGGCTAGACACTTCCTTCAAGCTTTGTTCTTAATAGAGTATTGAAATGCCGTGTCTTGGGAGGAAAACATGCAGGAAAGATAGCTTTTATTCCACGCCTCACATTGGAACCTTCATCAGAAAAATTGCCCATCAAGCTATCACATCGTCAATTCCCTGTCCGTGCTGCCTTTGCCATGACCATCAACAAGTCTCAAGGTCAATCAGTGACACAGGTTGGGCTGGATTTACATGTTCCAGTGTTTTCACATGGGCAATGTTATGTTGCATTGTCTCGCTGCACTTCAGGAGAGAAAATGAAAGTGCTATTTCCACATGGTTCAAATGATAGATGTACTGTCAATGTGGTGTATCCCGAAATTCTGATCGGCTTTATCTGTGACTGGCAAGTAGATTTTTCCCCAATTCTCACCCTTTTTACTAAAGTGTTTTATTCTCAGATCATATTTTCATCATTTACCATTTCTGGAGTCTCTTTTTTTATTTCTCATCAATTTATCAATATAGTACCATAGACTTTTTACGTTACAATATATGTTGATGTTTGCAAAGATTCAATGAACCATCTGCTTGATTCAGTATACTGTGCAAGTTTAGGGCAGGCTTATAAGGACATTCAACAACAGAACTGCAAGTCAAACATGCATCATAGGATTCAAAGACTTAACATACATTACAGACAGCATAAGTTTACTTAACAGTGGTATTATTATTAATATTATTTATTATATCACAAAAACATCGCACCAGTGGCAGAGCCACGAGCTGGACCTCGTCTATAACGAAGGGGACGGTGGTCCCAAATGCCGCATGCGAGCCACATTGCGTCGGTTATTTCACTTAGTTTTGCTTGCGTGGTTTTTGTGGCAACACAGAAGCAGTACAGTGTGTAACACCATAAACTGGCAAATCCCACGGTCCAAATTTAAAAATGTATCTCCTCTCTCAGATCACCATATATCATCCTAGAAATCATATAAAATAGAAGATATATACTATACTAATAAACCTATCAGAGCAGAATTTTAAACTTTCTCCATCTGAAAATAGGTATCAAAGAATTTCTGAATTTCAGTCGGAGTATGCTGAAGTTTCCTTATTTAGTAATTTTTATAATTGGAGAGTTAAATAATTGCCATATGCAGTAGCTACCATACATTGCATATTGCAGTGTGTTTGTACTAAATAGCCATTCATAGTAAGATAGGGTGCATGCAGAGCCCTCTGATGTCAGGTGGTGTGACATTTTGTGACACTTAGCAGCGGTGCACCGGTGTGACAATCCAAATTGAGAAGGTGGGTTTGGCCTTCCAAAGGCCCAAGGCAATCAAGGGCAAGTCGAGAGAAACAGAAAGAAGCAAATCTATATCGGTACGGAAAATCAAACCCTTCAAATAAGCATCCATGAATCGACAAGAACACGTTGTGAACCTATATTGGTACGGAAAATGAGAATAAAGAAGATCACAATCAATAGTTCACTCACCGGTGCATGGTAATCAAAGGGACTGAGTCCAGTGCTGCGAGAAATTTTTGTTCAAGATCAGCTTCTTTGGACGACGCGGGAAATTGTCAATACAGCTGCTTTGCAAAGCCCCAGCATTGCTCTATAAAGTTGACCTCACAGTGAAACTTTGGGAGGAAAAGCACTTGATAACCACAAGTTTTGCAAAGCGTCTCCAGGAGGGACTTGACCCTGACAAAGTCAGGTTGTGTGTAGAGAATCCGCCAACAGCAACAGTTGATTTGATTTTTCTTGCAGTTGAAATTCTTTCCGCATTGGGCTTTCAGCTTTGTGTAATTGGGGACCATGAATTTTGATGGATCCTTGTGTTTGCGTTCCTCCAAAATCACTGCCTTCCCTTTGAAGACGCCCTCAGGACCGCATGGGTCATCCAGAGGGAAATAGAGTGGCTACATGGTACCATCATCAAGCCTTTCATCAGACATTGGCACCTTGATCTTGCAGATTTTCCCATCTGCGATGAACACAGATTTCCCATCTGCATCAACTTGGTTCACCTCAATACCCCAGTTCCCCCCATTCTTCGGTATGCCTTTAGGCACCTTGCGAGCGGTAAGTGTGTTATCAGCACACTTTAGGTGAGTGGTGGCATTGTCAAAGATGAGGATGTGGTCTTCATCACAATAATGCTCGTCTAGGATGTCCATTGCATTTTTCGCATGTTTTTGGATATCAAGGTTCATAAAATAACCATTACGTGCCTTTCCGCACCTAAACAGCACTCTGCCTTGTTTGTTTCCATCCAGAGATCTTAGCCACCCATAATTGGCAGACACAAAGTCAGCAACCATTAATGAAGCACCCTCCCCATTTGTGCGTGGAGTCGCAGTTTTACCTTTGAAAACCCAGTGGACAACACATCAATCATTCACATAGAATTTGGATTCGTTGTGGAACCAAATGACAACATGGCACTGCAGTGGGTTAGGGCCAAGCACCTCTGTATTGTCTGTAAGCCATTTCCATGTGCAATCTTCAAGTTGTTAGTTTTGGTGATTCTGCACCTTTGTGCTACCTCTATATTTTCATTCCTTTCTCTATCTATCCCTCTACCATTCAGTGTTGATTGTGTTCTCTATTATTTCGCCTTTGTGGCTCCTTTGTTTACCTTTGTTTACAAAACATCGGACAGTACTGCAGAGTCCAATGCTTCCTATTCTCTAGTTACTCACATTGGACTCTAGGTACTGTATACCTGTCATACTCTCTAATAATATAGTTACTCACATTGGACTCTAGTTCCAGTCCCTGATTGCTCTCAGCAAGTGGCTAGACACTTCCTTCAAGCTTTGTTCTTAATAGGTTATGAGCCCTGTGCTCTAGCCATCTTCCTGACCTCATATCTCACCATCCAAGCGTCCTACTGCTTATCCATCGTAACCATCGTCTTCTGGGACTCCTATTATCCCATCCATCACCTCAGATTACTCTGATCTCATCCTGATCTCCAACAACAACTCCTTGTTGCAAGTTACCCCCATTTTGGACGCTTTTTTGGTCTATCTGTATCATATCTCACCAATCTTATCTGATCGTCCCCAAACTTCTACCATCGTCTTCTACGGCCTAAATAACCCTAGGAGACCTGTCAGAGCGGTTGGATTTGAGCTGGATCTTTCTGTGAGCCTTCATCATCATTTGATCACCTTTTGGCCCCCTACTCCATATCTCCACATCCTGTGCTCGGATCTTGGCCCTATTTGAGCCATCTAGTACCCTATACTATCGCACTCTACACCCTCAATTTGGGGGCAATCCATCCACTCCATCACCCTCTGTGAAGTTCGCATTTTTGGCACTTTCACCCCTATTGCACCCCTATTGCATATCTCCACATCCTGTGCTTCACTTGTTGTGATATTTGGGCCATCTATTGCTCTATATAAACGTTCCATATACCTCTGATTAGGGGGCAATCCATCCATCCTATCTGTCTCTGCATCATTTTCGACTTTTTGCCCTATTTTTCGCTTTTTGGCATATCTGGTGTGTGCATAAAGCTCCAATCTTCTCTGCTCTGTCCATTATCAGATAGAACAAGCCTATAGACTGTGAAGCTCGCCTGCATTGCCTCAGTTTGCTGTTGCCTAGAGCCTCTCTCAGTCTGCGGTGTTTGGGGAGCTTAAGTCACTTTGTTGACTCATATACAAGCCCTATTAACCAACACTGTCTCGAGGCGATTTCTCTGTTAATATCAGTGTGGTATTGAAAGGGGAACACAGGCGTAACCCTGTAGCAGCACTAGGAAGCCTTAGCACCCTCCTGGATCGCTTTTGGACGCTTTTTGGACCCTATTTGGACCTATCCTTGCGCTTTCTGACCCTCTCCATATCCTCTCTCTACCGCCTCACCATCTTATCTGCTCACCTCCTACTGTTACCCATTGTCTTTGCCACTGTTTCATCGCCTATAGCCGTCTCCTACATCATTTATCTTTGCTCTATCGTCTTATACAACACCCATCATGTCTGACTCTGATCCCAAGTTCCATCCCTTGTCTGGCACTAACTACCCCCAGTGGAGTGGTGAAATGCAAGCTTGGTTGATGACCAAGGGACTGTGGAGGCTTGTCTCTGGTGCTGAAAAGTGTCCTGGGACTGACGCTGAAGCAATAGAGAAATGGGAGTTGAGAGCTGAAAAGGCTGCTGGTGCATTATACCTCAATGTCACCAAAGAGCAGCGCATCCATCTTGATGGCATCATTGATGATCCTGTCAAGATCTGGGAGAAACTGGCCATTGTGCACGTCTCTAAGAAGCCTGGGACGAGATTTAACGCCTATGACGACTTCTTCTCTATCAGAAAGAAGGAGGACGAGTCCCTGCAGTCTCTCATGACCAGGATTGACGAAGGCATGCATCAGATTCAAAATCTTCGTCCTACAGGCTTTAAATTGGCTGAATTGGACGATGAACTGACATGTATGGCCATGATTAGGGCGCTTCCTGATCAGTATGCCCACTTCACTTCATCTTTACTGCTTCTGGGCACCTTGGACAAGACCCAGCTCAGGGATGCTTTCCTTGCTGAAGAGGTCAATCGCCGTCGTCGTGCTGAAGTCGATTCTGCCTTGCATTCTTCGTCTACCACTGCCAATAGCACCTGCACCCATCCTAACTGCCATCATTGCAACCAATCCACCACCTCTACTCGCATTCAGTATGATTTCTGTGGTTTACTTGGTCATACCCAGGATAAATGCCACAGATATGTTATCAGTCGCCAACAGGCGGTGGAGGGCGCTAAGAACCGCTACAAGCGTGGCAATAAGGCTCAGGCAGGCTCCAGCAACTCTCAGAATACCTCTCAGCAGCCCAAATCTTCGCCCAATAATGCCAATTCATCTACTGTGGTCACTGAATCAGCTGGAAATGCAAGTCTTCGTCCCATTCATCCCTCTGATCCTCACTGCCCTCTCCAACTTGATGCTGACGTTGATTGGAATGCAGACACAGGCACCACTTCTCATATGACACCTCATCGTCATTGGGTGCACCACTATACCCCATATTGTGTGCCAATCAAGCTGGCTGATCACACTGTCGTCTATTCAGCTGGTGTTGGTACTGTGGTGTTTAATCCTGTGATGAATGGCAAAGTGGCTAGGGCTGTGGAATTCTCTAGAGTGCTCCATGTACCAGATCTTCGAAATAATCTCCTCTCAGTCTTGTATTTAACTCGTCAAAGTGGTTTCAATGTCACCATTTCGTCTCATTCCATGTCCTTTATGCGTGACAACACTCTCTTGTTCACTGCAACTATCAATGACAACAATGCAGCATTCCTTGATGGATCTACTGCTGCTTGTGTTGAACTGGGACATTTCACTGTGACTATACCACTTGATTTGACGCTCTGGCATCGCAGATTGGCTCATCACCATCATGCTGATGTCAAGAGACTGATACAGAGAGATCTGGTTACTGGGCTGACACTGGACTCCAAGGCTGCTCCTGATCCTGTCTGTGAACCGTGCTTGTCTGGCAAGATGCATGCCAATCCATTCCCCTCATCTGATACTCGCTCTGCTCATCCTTTGGACCTCATCCACTCTGATGTTCACCAAGTCTCTTCCCCCACATTCTCTGGTTATCGCTACTGGGTCACCTTCATTGATGATCACAGTCGATTCCGTGTTGTTGTGCCTCTCAAGGCCAAGTCAGATGTCTTTGATGCTTTCAAGAGATTCAAGGCTTATGCTGAGACTCAATTGGAGCGCAAAATCAAGGCTCTGCGTGATGACAAAGGGGGAGAGTACATGTCCAAGGAATTTGAGCAATTCACAGATGACCATGGGATTGTGAGACAGCATACCACCAGGAATCGTCCTCAGCAGAACGGTGTGGCAGAGCGAGCAAACAGACTTCTGACTGAGCGTATCACTGCCATGTTATCAGAGTCTGGATTGCCTAATAGCTTTTGGGGTGAATGTCTGTCCGCTTTGGTGCATGTCTGGAACAGGTGTCCCACTGATGCAGTGGCCCATGCCACTCCCTTTGAGCTGTGGTATGGACGCAAGCCTGACATGTCTCACCTTCGCGTTTGGGGCTGCACTGCCTATGTGCATGTACAAAAGGACAAGAGGGGCGTCTTTGGCTCTCATATGGAGAAATGTGTGTTCATTGGTTACCCTGAGGGGTACAAGGGATGGAAGTTCTACAATCCTACCACCAAGCGCACTGTTATCTCTGAGAGAGCTGATTTTGATGAGCGCTACTTCCCTGGCTTGAAGAGGTCTTCTGACAATGTCCCACCTCCAGCTCCACCTCCTACTCCACCTGCGCTATCCATGCCATTGGGCCTGATTGAGGATGTGCCTGCACCAGGTCCAGGGGGAGATATGGGCCCACCAGCTGCGCTTCAGCAGCCTCAGCCATTGCCTGACAATGGGCCTCATTTGGACCTTGATCCAGAACCTCCTGTAAATCAGCCTCCTGTACTCCCAGACCAACCTCTTCATCGTTCACCATCTCCTGATATGCCTCTTGCTCTCAGACGTCCTGTTAGGGCTAAGAAACCACCTGGAGAGTGGTGGGTTCAACACAGAGAACCCACTCCTGCCATTGACAGTGACAGTGATTCTGAGGCAGATGGTGATCAAATGGCCCACTTTGGTGATTCTGCTGAACCTAGGTCGTTTGCAGACGCTATGAGGCGCCCAGATGCGAACAAGTGGAGAGAGGCAGCCATGGAAGAGCTCCAAGCTCATGAGCGCAATGGTACTTGGTCACTAGTGGAACTACCTCCTGGAGTCAAGGCAATTGGTGGCAAGTGGGTCTTCAAGATCAAGCGCAACTCAGATGGCACTGTTGAGCGCTACAAGGCCAGATATGTGGCCAAAGGTTATAACCAGCGCCCTGGCTTTGATTTCCTCGAAATATTTGCACCCACTGTCCGTATATCGTCCATCAGAGTTGTCCTTGCCATTGCAGCCATCCACAACCTCCATTTGCGCTCCATTGACATTTCCCATGCATTCCTCAATGGAGTCATGGATGTCAAGGTCTACATGCACCAGCCAGAGGGATTCCATCAGGGTCCTCGCAATCTTGTTTGCCAGTTGGACAAGGCCATCTATGGGACAAAGCAGGGAGGCAGAATGTGGAACCAGAAGATGCACACTGTGCTTGAAAAACTCGGATTCAAG